TTTATTTTTTTTCGTCGCCAGGACGACAGAGCAGAGCAGAGTAGCGCGGCAGCAACGGCATTGATTGTTTTTAAAAGGCGGGATTAGAGTAATGAGGCAGGAAGGAGAGGAGCCTAGAGAGGCGGTGGCGGTGGCGGCTGGAGCGGCGGGGGAAAGAATGACGCTGGAAGGAGTTATTAGGTACGGTAAGGGGATCAGGGGCCCGGCAGTGCCACCCGGTGGTACTTACGTAGCCCAGCTCCTGCATCACGCACGTCACGTTCTTGACCCTGCCCGTCATCCTGGTGGTGAGGGTCTCGAGCTGGCCCTGCACGTCGAGGTCCCTGGACGCCCTGCTGCTGCCGCCGCCGGCCGTCGTCTTGGCCGCCTTGGAGCTCCTCGAGCTGCGCGAGTAGCGGTTGCCGAAGGCCTGCTGGTAGTACGGCTGCGGCTGCGCCTGCTGCTGCGGCGGCTGCTGCGGCTGGTAGTGGTGCTGGTAGTTGCCCCTGGACTGGTACTGTTGCAGCACCTGCAGCGCCTGCAACGCCTGCAACGGGTCCACCTGCGGCATGGCCTGGCCGAGCGCATCTCGGGTTCAGCATCCCGTACTCCAAACACCACAAAAGAACACACAAACCAACCTGGCTTACCTGGTAGGTGGAGGCCGGGGCTTGCGCGGGGGCGGGCGCCGGGGAGGCGACGCCGGTCGCGGCCTGGTACTGCGACAGGAGGTCGGAGAGCCCGGGGCTGGCCGCCGAGTAGCCGGGGGCGGACGAGTAGCCGGAGGCGGCGGGCTGCGGGGGCGGGGCGGGCTGCTGCGCCACCACCGGCCTGTACGCGGAGTAGCCACCCCCCTGCTGCAGGCAAAACAAGACAAACAGTCAGCATCTCTCGCTTCCCGCTCCCCTCCTCTCGGTGCTTTCCGGCCCAGGTGCAACGGCAGGTCCCGTCCGGCCCGGTACAGGCAGGGCCCGGCAGGGACGAGCAACCTGGAAATGGGTCAGTTTTCTGCTGCTTATCTGCCCGGGCGAAGCGGAGTGCGGCTCGGCCGTGACCGTGGGGTCCAGCGCGTCCGGCAGCGACCTGCGGGCCCAGGCAGGCAGGTGAGCTGTCGCGACGCTCGGCCGACGGCGCGGCGAAAATTGGAAACAATCGCCGCTTAACGAGCCTCGTCACGGCGAGGGGCGGGGAGGTTAGGTGGGGCCGGGCTGCTCCTCCACGCTCTGCTCGCGCCATTTAATCTGTGACGCCCCATCCGCACTGCACGACGGCGGGGAGAGAGATGGAGGGAGAGGGAGGG